TTCCGTTTGCTCTTGCTCTACTCATCGTTTCCCATCTTCAATTCGGATTGTTTTTGTTTGCGTTCTCTGTAGGCTTCCACCTATTAGGCAGAGAAATGAAAAGAATCTTGGAATGAAGATAATAGTAAGATTCAAATGAATCAATTTAGTAAAATCCAATCTGGACCTGTGGTTAAATTACAAGAGTTGACAAGTTGGAAAACCTTGAATGGTATTTCTTACACCCTCTTCAAGCCAAGACTTCTACGCGCTGATGATTCTGTCGATTCGTACTCAGCTGAATCCAGTTTGAATTTGACAGACGGATTGTGTAGTGTGCAGTAGTACTCTGCTTATTGGACCGGAAAGATAAAAAGCAAAGAAAACTTGATGTGATATAGATTCAATAGCAAAGGCCGCTCGCACATGAGCTCTGGTCTATTGCAGATCAGTGACTATGGCTGCAGATGGATGGGGTCTGGAGTTTATTGAGGTAAATAGAGCCGAGTAGTGTGTGGTCTACTCGAAGACCAGCAAACTGCAGGAGTGTAGAATTCAGAGCTGAATAGTATGTATACACAGTGGATAGATGATATTTACATTGAGTTTTTACTAGTGCCATGCAGCTACTTTTCATTTGTACATGTACGAGTATTATATTGTAGTGTACAGTGAGTATTGGAATTCATGATTTTGCTCATACTACTAAATTTCCAATACGATACACAATTCTCATTTCGCCAAGTAGAAAAGGTGATCTCGGGGCCTTGCGTATTTTCGTAATTTGTGAGAAGTGGCCCACCCAAAAAGAAACTAGAGACTACTATATGGAAAAGGGAAATGGCTGGAAGGTAGTATCTTTCAAACGATTTAAGTGATTATTACTTCCAAACTCTTTGGAACATTTTGGAGAGAGGAACAATGATTGATCTAAATTTCAATATATCGTCCTATACAGGCATCTTCATGGATAGAAACTTGTCCTAGATACCTCTAAGTCCCAAATGACTGCTCGGATCTTCAACCAACCCCATAATTATGCCCGTCGCACATCAGTCAGCTTGATGTTCAACGGCCGATGCTCCCAGAGACCATACTCTTTAGACTCGTGTGGATCGATATTATCCGGCTGTGACTCCAAGTCAAAATTCCACAGCAGCCGGGCCAAGGCAAGGCACATATTTGACATGGCCAAACTGTTTCTCTCACCATTAGCTTGACTCATATACCTAGCTCGGAAGGGAAGGGAGCAATACGTACTTCTGTCCAATGCAGTTCCGAGCTCCAATAGAGAAGGGATGGAATACTAAGCGACTGTCTGACTTAAACCGGGCGTCTCCGAGCCATCGCTCGGGAATGAACTGTTCTGGGTGTTTGAAGTACTTGGGATACCGATACGCGGTGAGCTGGGTCACTGACACCCATGTCTAAGTGAGCTTTAGCAAAGATATACCAGTGGGATTTGCAATGGAAAGAAAGAATGAGATCACTTACACCACCTGGCACAAAGTGTCCATCTATAAACCGACCGCCTTTGGGCACAATGCGCGGTAATCCAACCGGGACACTGGGATGAACTCGCATACTTTCATCAATCACTGCCCGGAGGTATTTCAACTGCATAACAGCGGCGATGGTAATTTCATTCTCATTTTCGAATGAGTCCCGAATCTCTTGAACCAAGGTAGTATAGCTGTGTGGGCTGTGAGTGATGTAGTATACCACCGAGGTCAGTGTTGTGGCCGTTGAGTCACCCCCCGCGGTAACGAGGATATTAACATTATCCAGCAACTCCTCATATGACATTCTATCATGGATAAATGAGAGGATATCGTGACGGTCTGAAACTGGCTTCTCAAGTCGAGCTCGCAAAGTCTTGGTACAGTTTTTCAAGTGCACCTCATATTGGTTTCCAACGTCCTGGGGGATCAACCACTCCAAAAGGCGATGATAAGGCTTAAGGCGATGGGCACTTTGTATCAAGGTAGAGTGTTTGATGGCGCCGTAGATGACCTTGATCCAGGGATGATACTGGCCACTCTCTAGGGAGCCGATACTCGCGCCAAAGGCCAGGGAACTCAGTACATCAAAAACCTCAAAGTTGAACCATGCGGCCATGTTCACGACGCCATCCTCACGGGGAAAATGCTCCAGACCGTTACGCTTACGAAGCGAAATCATCATATGATCCAGACATTCCTGAACCAAGGCTTCTTGGTTCTTTACCGCACGTTCTGAGAAGGCAGGAGCCATCATTCGGCGCACGGGGGCATGTTGTCGGCTGGGAGCGAAGAAGATATTCGTGGTATCTTCGTTCCCCTGCAGGTAGGCGATGCCATTCTTCTCATATACATTATCCCAGCCAGACTTGTTACCGTAGATCTCCTGCCAGGCGGAGGCACTGATAAACGACAGTTCATTTGATGCGGTGCGGACAACCTCGCCGTATTTTGCGTGGAGCTCGGTGATGTACTTGGCAGAGTCGCCCCTACATAAGTGGTATGACCAGACCAGTTGCGATAGGCCGTCGATTTTAGGACCGGGAAAGCGCCTTAGAGGATTCAGAAATAGATGATAGAGGGCAATGAGGAGATGGATGCAGAGGAGCTAGAGAGGAGTGAGCAGAGGAGCATCATTTGTAATTTTGACACTGTTCAGATAGCTTACCAGACCAATGGCCGCGAGGAGGCATGCCAAAATGCTCAACATGTTCGCATTAACAATCAAGCCTGTGAGACACAGTTAATAGGAAAATGTTGATCACGGTGGGTATATGCGTGGGAGCGATGTCGAGAGCACACCCTCTGCTTTTGCGGTGATTATTTTGACTTGTCTAGATCCTGTATGATGACCACGTCCCAATCGATTAGTTGAGTTTACAGCTCTAAAGAAGTTCAGCTGCAAGTATGCTTTCTTGTTTTTTTTTTTTTCTAAAAAAAAATCTTGAGTCGGAACCCGACTGCTTCACAGCTTTTGGGGGCTGAGCTGAGGAATGTCTGTTGATGCAAGAAAGTGGATTACGATTTATGACGGAGTGAAATATTTCAGTATCATGGAATAATACCATACTAGGTACATAACTTTGAAAATTGCCATATATACCGTATGTTATTTACCATATACCATACACCATAATATACCTCTATGATATTTCAACCCCATCGATTTCCACAACGAATTCACGACAGACAGCCGAAGTTTCATCCCAAACGACTTAATCCCAAATTGACCGCCATGGCCACCAACCAAGCAAGTCAGTTAGCCTTCAGTTCTCTAAAATGTACTTTTCTGATTGCTGACGACGACGGTGATGATGATTAGAACCGTTTGCGATGAGAGAAGTAAGTTCCCTCCCCTTTGGGATTTTCGACTAGGTACTTACTTATATCAGGAGGAGATGAAACGGCTGGGTAGGTACATGGATTCCACATTGTAAAGCAGCAGGCAATTGACAACTGCAGACGATCTCCACACTATTTGCAGTATGATGGCTGATGGAGAGCTCGGTTGGGCGCCGGTTCACGCTCCTAGGACTGTGCTGGATCTGGGTTGTGGCACAGGTAACTGTTTTCCTAGATGTGTTACTGTATCAATGAGCCTGGCTCACCTTCGTCACTGTAGGATTGTGGATGACAGAGTTCGGTATGTTTGCCTCTCCATGAGACCGAGGAAGAAGTTTAATGTTGAAATAGCACACAAGCATCCCAATGCTAGGGTAAGTGATTCACAACGCGATAAATACAATCATTAACCATTTTAGATTATCGGCTTGGACCTCGAACCAATTGACTCTTCGAAGTAAGTGTTTGTTGACCCCCGTAATTGGGAAATGAAACAAGTACTTACTCACTTGAACAACAGGCTGCCACAGAATTGCAGCACGGCCATCGCTGACTTAGAGAACGAATGGCCCATCAGTCATCGGTTTGACTACATCCATACGCGGTGGCTGGTAGGCTGCCTGTTTGACTGGCCGCTCTTCTTCAAGCGGTGCTATGCCTCGATGGAGGAGGGTGGGTGGATGGAAGTGCTAGACATTGGATTCCCTTGTCAATCCGCGGACGGCTCCCTTTTCCCCAACAGCGCAATTCCAGAATGGAACGACCTCCTCGTTAAGGCCGCGAAGATTTCCGGTCGCGAGCTTACGGTCGCCGCGAAGTTTGGTGAGTTCATGCGTGAGGCTGGGTTCAAGAACGTGACGGTTATCGAGAAACGGCTGCCACAGAACCCGTGGCCTGAAGACGCAAAGGAGCGCGCGTTGGGAGAGATTGCCCTGCCCATTCACCAGGACGGGCACGAGCGATTGGGCCACGATTACCTAATTCCCAACCTGGGCATGTCGATTGAGGAAGTTGATATCAAATTGGAAGTGGTGAAGAAGGATATGGAGAATCCCAACATCCATGCCTGGTGGCCGATGTAGGTTGTTGCCTGGAACAATGCAAACTGAGATGTATTTACTAACTTTGGAAAGCTACATTGTATATGGACAACGTTGAACTATGGAGAGTGATTTTAGTCAATCAGAATTGAGAACTAGCCGTGCACGACCCCCCTAAGGGCAGCACTCCTCAGGGGGTGAGAATCGATATCATTACAATAAAAATGAATCGGGGAAAACGCATTTTAGTAGTAGAGATAGCAAGGAAAGAACAACTCGGAAGAAGTAAGAAAAAGAGCGAGTGTAGCCCGAAAAGTAGCGAAGGAAGCTTTATAGACTAAGATAGACGCCGAGGTTAATAGCATATCCCCTCACCCCTAGCTACCCTAATTCAAATCTAACCCCTTTTACTATAACTAAAAGCTTTATCTTTATATAGTTACATGGAGATGATTATGGTTAAATAGTTGAAAAGTGGTTGGATTGGCGGTAATAACTCGGTGAAAATTATCATTGCGATTGGGAGCACCCCAGGGTGGGGGGGGGGGGGGGGGGGGGGAATGCACGGCTATAGAAGTCCATATTGTCACTGCGTGCACCCACCAACTCAATAAAAGACAAAAAAAAAAAAAGTTATTCTCTATGAATGTGTCTCTAAATAACCTAGATACTTGCTCATCAACGCTCCATCCAACTCGGGAAACTGAATGCCACCCGCATAATCCTTCATGGCCTGTTCTGTATTGTGAGTCTCGTACACAGGCATATTCTCATACAACTCCCATCGTGTCAAGCCGTTGTGTACCTTTTCCGTCAACATGGGCTGCAGCGCTAGCAACATCAAGGGAGGCGCTTCAGTCAAACGCTCAACCCATTGCTGGTAGGGAACGCCGACAATGGCACTGCCGCTCGCCTGGCCGACCAGCTCCATTGAATCATCCATGTTGATTGACAGGGAGGGACGAGGTGGGACAATGTGATAGGTATGGCCTATAGACGCCGCTGTGGATGCAATGTGTAGGATTATGGTATTGACATAATCCACGGGCACAAACTCCTTACGCTGGCAAGGAAGCTGCGGGTAGCAGCCCATCTCGCTGCAGGCTTGGACCAGGCGACTGAAGAAATCGTCGGGATTGCATGCCCCCGTTTGGCTGTGGCCAGTGATAAAGCCAGGGCGATACACGGCGATTGGAAATCCACGTTCAATCAACCGTCTGAGAAGTTGCTCCACTACCCACTGACTCTGCGCGTACCCATGATCATACGGCAGGGAGTCGATATGGCTCATCAGCGATTCATCTTCCTTCACATACTGGGCTCCGGTAAAGTAACCTGTGGGACCAAAGCAGGAAATACTCGACACGTAGTGTACAGCTTTCACCCGGCCAGTCACAGCAAAGCGTATTATGTTGAATGTGCCGATTGTATTTGCAGGACGATGTAGCGTATATGTCTGGGTGTAGTTGACTTTAGCACCCAAGTGGAAGATAACACTGGCCCAGTTGGCGATCTCCTCGAAACGCTCCATACCAAGACCGAGGTATTCGTCCTCTAGCAGACCGGGGAGGGGGAGAAGCTTGTTCACGAACCGTTCCTCCCACAGGTCGTACTTGGCCAACGCCTTGCGTAGGCGTTCGAGACCCATTTCCGAGTCTAGGGCGCGGACGAGACAGCCTACTTGATAGACATTGGGCATACGGAGCAGATCAGCCAACAAGAACGCGCCAACGAAGCCCGTGGCACCAGTGAAAAACACACGCCCTTCGGTATCACGATTCCAGTCCACTACGGGCGCCGTTGGGGCCAGAAGAACGTCAGCTATGTACGTATCTGCGATCCATTGCTCTCTCTCATTGCGCACGACTTCCACCACGCCGTTCCGGACTTTTTCAATGGCAGTTGTCAAGCCACCCAGCGTGGAGTCGTCGTATAAAGTGAGAAGTGAGAGATCCAACTGAAAGATAGTGCGGATCCGACTGATGAGCCAGGACGCCTGCAGCGACGTTCCCCCAAGCTGGAAAAAATCGTCACTGTCCTTGAAATCAGAGTTGGGAAGGCCGAGTATGCTCGCCCAGACAGTCGCTAGATGGGTGCGGGTATCACTGTCGGCTTCCGCATTCACGCGGCATAGTGTTTTGTATGCTGGGGTCTGCGTCCATCGCTGGCGATATCGTTGGGCCAGTAGGCTGCGGTCAACTTTAGCATGGTTGTTGAGGGGCATCTTGTCGATCAATTGGATCTGAGGCACCATGTAATCCGGTAGCACGGCGCGAACGGCTTCCGTCACTGTATGGAGAGAGACATCGCTAGCGGAGGAGGTTGGCACCGCATATGCGACTAAATGAGAACTGGCGCCCTCCGGCACAGCATCGACCTTGAGGGCAATCGCCTCTGAAAAGTGGCCTGTCTTCATCAAGGCCGCCTCCACGGCCTCAAGCTCGATGCGAAAGCCACGCACTTTGACTTGGTTGTCCCGTCGCCCAATATAATCGATCTGCCCGTCAGGACGGCGACGAACTATATCACCCGTGCGGTACATACGCACGGGGAACCCATCACCGAGATCCACTAGGACAAAAGCCGTTTTGTTCTTCTCCGGTCGATTGACATAGCCAGGAGACACTCCGGGTCCAGCCACCCACAGCTCGCCGGCTTCACCATTTTCTACCGGCTCTCCAGAGTCCGGGTCTCGAATGTGCGCCGTGGTGCGGCCAATGGGCTTCCCGATACTGACTCGTCCCGACTGGATATCGTCCTCTGTAATGCGGTGGGCGAGACAGAGGACACAACACTCCGTGGGTCCATAGGCGTTGATGAGGTTCTGGGGCGGAGTGTGGCGGAAGATAGTCTCAATGGCGCTCATGTTGGCAGCCTCCCCTCCTATCCAGCATATTCGTAGAGAGGCAAAGGCATTTGGGAATGTCGCTGCAGCAAGATTGAGCAAGGCAGTAGTGGTTGCCATAAAGGTGATTCCGAGCTTCTCGATCTCTTCAGCCATGAGCGGCAAATCCAACAGTGTTGTCTTTTGTAGCACTGCGATGCGGGCACCACGTAGCAATGGAGCCCAAATATCGAACAAGGAAACGTCGAAGCTGGTGTTATTAACGTGCGCTACTACGTCGCTGCGCATGACGGGTTCGAAGGGTGCATGAAATACGACCTCCAGAATGGACCGACCTGCAATCTGGACTGCTTTTGGCTCGCTCGTCGTGCCGGAGGTGTGGATGACATGAGTTCGATGCTCAAGATCGGTGATGGCTGGTAGGGCAGTATCTGCCATCCGCAATTCTTCGGTGGCAAAGGAGAGAGGATTATCTATGACAATATGGCGGAAATTCGAGTGCAGCAAGGTGCGTTGCGAATTGGGTTGGTCAACGAGAATGTATCGAGCATTTCCAAGCCGTTGCAGCCGGGCATCGATTTGTTGATCTGGTAACGTGGGGTCCATAGTTGCACAGCTTCCACCAGCGTATATGACAGCTACCTGGGTGACAATATCCCAAACACCATGTTGGACGACGATGCCAACGGGTTCCTGCAAGTCAAAGCCTTCTCGCCTCAGCTCATTGGCAAGGAGGGCGGCTTTGGCATGGAGCTCTTGGTAAGTCAGGGACGTCGTTCCATCGACTACCGCGATGGCCTCCGGATCTCGGAGTACTTGTTGATGGAAAAGCTGGCCAAGGCCAGAATTCTCAGCCACAGCTAAGTCATACTCATTGCGGAGAGACGACGATTCGTAAACCATCTTCGAGATAGAACACCGAGACAGCCAGTCAAGAATTGAAAATATTGAGTGAATAAGGGGCGAAGCAACTCAGATTCTAAGTGGTCAGGCTTTGATTAATGATCTATAAGTTTCATACAGCATCAGTGGAAGAGTGACTATTAAATGTTTCTCGATTTACATCCATACATGCTTCCATACATACATTCTCGCCAGTACATTACATATGTTACAAAAACATTGATACCGTCTCATACACATCGTTATGATACGTTATGATACTTGCTCCATCTAAACGCCTTGCATTCGAGAGCTTTCATTTTCTATTTTACGCACGTACATATGTAGGCACGAGCAAGGTTAATTAGAAGTAAATCTTTAGCCAGCCACCATTTGAATAGTAGATTGTTATTATGACACGTGTGCTCCTACCGAGAGCATTTGGCATATTAAAAAATAGATGTGATAGCCTCTGAACATCCACATAATATAGGCGCGGGCAAGGTTAATTGGAAAACTTTAGCCAGCCACCATTTCAATAGTAGATCGTTGTGACACGTGTGCTCCTACCGAGGGCATTTGGCATATCAAAAGCAACGCGAATAGATGTGATAGCCTCTGAATGATCAGCAAGGTGCTGGTTGATCTACCTATCTTTTCATTGCTACGTGATCAAACTTTCGGCAAGACCCGCAGCTGATGAGAGCTTCCATAGAGACTAAGCCTCCACCCCCGAACTCCAAGTGAATATTCTTTAATCTGTATCCTAAATTCCTCTTTGCCCTAATTACTAACTCATCTCTTCTTGGTTCTAACATTTCCCATCAACATGACCCGAATCACTGTCATTGGTGCCACTGGCAATCAGGGCGGCTCTGTCGCCCGTTCTCTTCTCCAAAACCCCTCCTTCCAGGTCCGAGCTATCACCCGGAATCCTTCTTCATCCGCTAGCCAGGAATTGAGCGCAGCTGGAGCTGAGGTCTTCCAAGCGGATGGCTTTAAGCCCGAAGAGATGCGCGCCGCCTTTGCGGATACCTGGGGGGCATTTATCAACATCAATTCTGATGACAAAGTATTCACCATTCCTGACGGTCCTAACGAGTATGACATGGGCAAGACTATCGTCGATGCCGCAGCCCAGGCTGGTGTCAAGCATTTGGTGTTTAGCTCTGCAGCTTCATGCACCGAACTGACTGGTGGTAAGGTGCAAATGAAGGCTATGGATAGTGAGCTCCCATTCAAAACGTACATATGTATTGCACATGAACTTACTGTTTGAAGTGAAAAATATGATTGAAAAGTATGCCCAGCAATGCGGCCAGTTTGAAACTGTCATCCCAATCGGCGCTGGATGGTTCTTTGAGAATTTCCTGTCCAAGGAAGCAGCCCCCGTTTTCGGCGGTTTCCCCCATTTCTCGGATGCTGAGGGTATCAGGACCCTCCGTGTGCCATACTGGGGCGGCGAGGAGCGAGTGCCCTTCTTGAGCATTTCTGATGATTTTGGGGATATCGTTCAGGGCATATTCCTGGAGCCTACGCGATGGAACGGTCATTTTGTGCACGGCATCAGCGCTATCCGGAGTTTTACCCAGCTGGTGGAGGAATTTGAGCAAGGTTTGTTCCTTTCTATCTATCTGTATATCTGGAATCTCACGGTATATGGTTAGTCACCGGGCATAAATCCCGCCTAGATCCAATCCTGCCTTCTTGGGAAGCGTTCGATACGCACGGAATTCACGAGTTGGAAGATGTCAAGCTCATGTTCGGCTTAACTCAAACGACCGGTGGATTGTACTTTGCCACCCCAAGTGAGAATGACACGGCAGCGGTGTTGAAGAAGGTTACTGGGCAGGCGTTGGGACGACCAGTAGATCAGCAGCAGTTAGTGACGGCCGAAGCATGGTTTCAGGCTCGTGTAGATTGCTTCACTTAAGCTATCTGCCTTGGTATTCTAAGTAAGATACCATATTAGCCCAGCATCTATGTAGATAGATACACGCATACGTTCTGTTCAAATCAGCTTCCCTTTTTTAAAAGAATATGCCAATACAATTTCTACTATCATAAACGATTTCTTCATATTGTAAATCATCTGCCTATTTGCTACTTAGAGAAATGTCTATGTCGGAATATCAAATCCCGTGAACTCCAATTTGCAGAAAATTGGCATCCTGCTGGATCCCATCTTGAAAACAGCTGGGCAAATCCTCTACATCCCATGTGGCCCATACAAATCGACCGTGTAGAAAGGCCGCTTTGGGAGAAGCAACCCAAACAGCAAAGTTACCAGGGAGATTCTCTGCGATATGTCAGTTAATGAATTTCAACGCAATATTGCGAGTACTCACCGTCATCCCAGTCCATGTCGTCTTGGGTGCAACCGGCTTCCCTCATGCCTTCGCTCAAGATAAAACCGGGGTGGTAGCTGACAATCTGCGTCTGCTCCGGGGGAACCTCTTCGGCTACGTGCTGCAATGCCCAAGTCAATGCGGACTTGGATAGAGCATAAGAACGGAACCCTGCCGCCATTTCGCGGTCATGGACAAATGGACTGGAGATATTGACGATTGCCTATATAATTATTAATGGTTATTGGCATAACATGCAATCACCGATAACCCACCTTCCGGGGCGATGTTGATTTGCTCATAAACTTTTCCACCATCATCAAATTGCCGCGAACGTTGGTCTCGAATAATTCCCATGTCTTCTCCCATCCTAGCTTTAGCATCGATGATTCATCTTGCGATTTGGCGGCATTCAGCACCAGAACATCCACCACGATGCCCTCTTCCTCGAGATGGGTCCACATTGCCTCGACGCTCGCCACATCGCCAAGATCACATTGCATGGGTGTGACATTTCCCTTGAATTCGGGGACGTTGGTCCGGATGCGGGCGGTGCAGGTGTCGAGAGTTGCACGGCTGCGGGCAACGATGATAATTCGGCATGCACCAGCTTGGGCGAAGGATCGGGCGATCGCAAACCCAATTCCCTTCGAACCTCCTGTGATGAGGATCGTGCGGCCTGCTTGTGAAAGCTGGGCATGGGTGGGGTCGATGGCCGTGTAGGGGCCTTTGTGAACAGTGGGGGTGATTGTAGCCATCGCGATTACGCCCGTGTATGAAAAGGTAGAACTGTGTATTGGAGTCTCTGGATGGGTGTATAAATGAAAATACTTTAGAGCTGAGGTATGTGCACTAAGACTGCAGGTGGATTGTGAGGTATGCGTGCATGTTTCAGCACCTGCAGAAATAACATAGTCCCCGGGATGCATCAGAGCCCATGCGCTTGGCGGCTGGTTTTGGGGCCGGGGTCAAAACCCAACCCGCGACTTTAGCGAGGTCTAGACTTCACCTGCTGGTCTCTTCGTGATCGAGATGAGCTGTTACCTAGATAGCTCAGAGAATCTATTAGCTGCATGCATTTTACGATAGTTGTAAAAGATCCGTCAAGTTCAATGCTGTAACCTTGGATCACCGTCTGAATATGGTATTTCAAAACATACCGCTAGTAATATCGTAAGCTATCGCTGCATCGTACCCATACGTGTATAGTAAAATGAAAGATCCCAAGAGCATACCAATTTGGTATCAAATTGAAAAATAATATGCTGAAGCAGCAAAATAAATTCCTTTATTTATTTGAGCTGCTCTTACTTGACAGATTTATTCCCATTTTTTGAGTACCAACACAGCTAAATCATTGTCTCACCATGCAACCAGGACAGAACAAAAAATCCCACCTCGCCGTGGCGTGCGAAGAATGGAAGAAATTACAGCAATATATCGCGGGACAGAAAGTTATCATTGATGGGAATTCGTTGGACCTGGCAGCTGTGGTTGCTGTCTCTTGGTGAGTGGTTTGAACATAGACTATGAGCTTGTCTGACTGTCCAAATTAGCCATCATGTTGTCCCTAGGCTCACAGACGAGCCAAGTGACTTGCAGCGCATCACCGCCAGTGTGGATGTGTTGATGGATCATTTAACCAAAGGTTACTGCGTCTACGGTACGTGCCACATACTCATAATGAGAGTCGAACAGACAGTCTAATGAAGATTTTGACACAGGTGTCAACACGGGCTTCGGCGGCAGCGCTGATTCTCGAACGGACAAATGGGTGTCACTACAGGCGGCACTCCTCCAGCTCACGCAATGTGGTGTTCTCGTCAGCGCGGATAAAGAAGGCGCAGATGGGCATGAAAGCCAATCGACCGGTGTCGGGCCACATGCGATGCCAGGGTCGTGGGTGCGTGCCACGATGGTTGTGCGATCCAACCACTCAGCGCGCGGGCATTCAGCTGTGACAATTCCTGTTATTCAATCCATTTTAAACCTCCTCGCCCATCGAATCACCCCGATTGTTCCACTCCGTGGCACTGTTTCTGCCTCGGGGGATTTGATGCCCCTGTCGTATATCGCGGGAGCCATCCAGGGAAGCCCTGACATCTTTGTCAAACGAGACGACGACAGCAAGTCACCAGCCAAGGTTTCTACGGCCCTGGAGGCGCTGGAGGCCGTAGGAGTCAGCCGGACAGACCTTGGACCCAAAGAAGGGCTGGGGCTTGTAAATGGCACGGCATCGTCTGCAGCGTTGGCGAGTCTGGTCATGTATGAAACGCATCAGTTGGCCGTGTTAACGCAAGTGCTCAGTGCGATGGCTGTCGAGGCAGTGATGGGCAATTCGGAGAGCTTTCATCCATTCATTGGGGCAGTAAGACCACATGCTGGTCAGATTGAAAGTGCCCGAAATATAATGGCCTTACTCCAAGGGTCATATTTGGCCAAAGGCGTTATGTCTAAAAAGAACCGCAATGAGACCGGCCTAGTCCAGGATCGCTATGCCCTCCGCAGTGCACCACAGTGGATTGGCCCTCAACTAGAAGATCTGCTGCTCGCCCATGAACAGGTAGCCACCGAACTGAACGCAACGGCAGATAATCCTTTGGTCGACACCCAAACTAACGATATCTATTACGGCTGCAATTTCCAAGCAGCGGCCATCACTTCAGCAATGGAGAAATCTAGACTCTCACTCCAGATGCTAGGCAAGCTCCTGTTTGCACAATCTACGGAAATGATGTCGCCAGAGTTGAATAATGGCCTACCCACTAATCTTGTGGCGGATGATCCCAACTGCTCCTTTACCATGAAGGGCGTTGACATTTCCATGGCAGCATACATGGCTGAGTTGGGATATCTAACTAATCCAGTTAGTTCCCATGTTCAATCAGCAGAGATGCAAAACCAATCAGTCAACTCAATGGCCTTTGTCTCTGGTCGCTACACTATGCAAGCTGTAGAGGTGGTGTCTTTAATGTCCGCTTCTTTCATCTATATTGCCTGCCAGGCACTGGACCTCCGCGCCATGACTCTGTCTTTCCTATCGAGCCTGCCAGTTATTATCCCATCAACCCTGGAGCGCGAGTTCTCCCCAGTTTTGTCAAACACTGAGCTGGCAACTTTGGCCATTAATGTTGACAAACATATGACCAGCATCTGGCCAACCACCTCGAAACTTGAATCTAGCGAGCGGTGCCGCATCCTGGTCGACACATCACTGGCGACGATTCTACAGGCTCTTGTCAACCGAAAATCGCCTAAGCCCTTTGAGAGTGCTACAGCGCTTGATAGCTGGAAAGCCCGAGCATTATCAGTACTTGTGGAGGCATATCAAGCGAGCCTGAAGAGACACGTCCAGCAACAACACACGGAAGAGCTGTTGGGCATCGGTTCGAAGCTTATCTACCAGACTGTGCGAAAGGACCTTCGTGTCCCATTCCACCAGGGCTTCATTGAACATCCCACCGTGGACAGCACCATGTTGAATAAACGGGAGAAGAAGACAATCGGCGGGTGGATTTCGGTCATTTACGAAGCCTTGCGGAATGGTCAGTTGCAGAGGCCGTTGATGTTGTGGATGTCGGAGAATATCGCATGAGTGTGAAGATGTAGGCGTGGGTACAGAGAACTATAGATACTTGAGAGTAGATAGTTTAATAAACCTTCCTTCTGATTGAACACAAGGTGTTCCGATGTCACTATATTCTCATCCCGATCACACCCACTTTCAAGAAGTCCTGAGACTCCAATCGACCTTCCTTACTCAGGGCTTCTTTGAGCTCTTGTACATCCCATCCTGCCCAGCAGTACCGACCATGAAGAAAGCTTGCCTCATCTGTTGCTGCCCAGACAGCAAAATTTCCAGGGAGTGTATCTGAAAACCTTTGATTAGTATAAGAATTCTTCTTTGAAAGAGGTGCAGCTTTTACCATCGTCCCAATCATAAACTTCCTTCGTCATCATCTGGCTGATAGTTTCGGTGTAGACTCCACCTGGATGGACATTGATGATTTGGACCTCATCGACTGGGAATTCGCTTGCCAGATGTTGCAGCAGGCATGTCCACGACGCCTTTGTTGCCGCATACACGCGCTGGCCCCCCGTCACGGCATAGTTGTTGATAGCGTCGGATGAAATGTTGACAAGGAACTAGGGCAAACTCGTCAGCGTCATTACTACAAGTGTAAGGAGGGGTGAATGATGAGTACAAACCTTCTTTTGTCCGTCATGGGTATTGCCCTGTCGTACAAAAAGATCAACAAGGGCTAAGTTCCCCCGAACATTGACCTCATACTGTTCCCACACTCGACGCCAGCCGTGTTGAAGCACAGCTTGGTTTTCCCCCATGTACGCTGCATTGAGGATGAGCACATCCACTCTGCGTCCGTCCAATGAAGACCAGACACTAGCGATCTCCTCCGGATCGAGGATATCACATCGAAGGGTCATCACCACTCCGGAAAACGAGGGGACTTCCCCCTTCAGTCTGGCCTCTGCCGTGGAGAGTTTATCACCACCCCGGCTTAGGAGAATGATAGTGCTAGCATTGGCAACAGCAAAGGCCCGGGCGATGGCAAATCCAATGCCCCTCACACCGCCAGTGATTAGCACTGTCTTCCCTCGTTGCGTGCGAGGTGAGGCAGCAGCATCAATCCCACGGTAAGTGGTCTTGTGGATCATCTGGATGAAGTCCTCCATGTTGGTGTGAAATAGCGTGGAAGAAGATGGAATCTCTTGGGGCTATCCTTGTAGCTGATAGATACGTTGTGTATTAACTGAGCGTGTATCTTAGCTCACATACGCATGGCAAACACTAATTTCAGCTATTGTCTTTTCCGTTGTGTGCAGGAATGCCTCGCAGAATTAAATTAGGAATCTTTGGGGTTCATTAGACGATAGAGCATCCTAGTATCGCTAGTCTGCAGATGTACAAAACCACCATCATGGCTTAGACTACTCCGTAGTGTATGGATCGAAACCGTGATACTTAATTTACACTTGTCTTATTGGTCAACGTATGAAACACCGGATCTAAACTAAATCTCAGTGTTGATAGATCTAAAGGGCAAGCATGATTGTCATCTAGGGCTGAGCTGGATAAACTGTCAGAGAACTTGGCATGACAGGTTTGATTGTACATGCATAAATGACATACCACCTGTTATATACATGCAAACCTTAGAATGTATCCATGTATATGTATATATGTATTGGTGTACGGTAATAAATGTGTATATAATACATTCAGCATGTTACTGACGCAAACTGCAGCGGGATATACCTGGAAATGTCTTCATTTGGTGTCTGGCTTGCTCAAACAACATTCCACTGCTCTCCACCGCTCTAGAAAATGTCCAAGTCATCATCCACCCCTCCGTCGTGGCTCATATCCAACGTCCAGCCTGTCTGTACATTGATCCTCCTCTGCTACACGAAAAAAGGCAATGCATTGCGATGGATCAACCTCGCCTTCTTGACAGCCTTGACTGTCTGGCATTATCAAACGCTTGACCAACTGGACATGACCACGCCTGACTGTGTCATTCTTCGCATCGTGCCCCTCCCAACCCTACTACACACCACCAGCCTTTTGGTCGGCATTGACTACGACGACATATGGGAGCAGGAGGCATGTCGATCTCGCTTTTCAAACTTCCTAGGCTCCGTGCGACTGGTCATGGACTACTCAGCGGTCGGCACGCGCTGGCAGGTTCGCAATGTACCTGCCTTCCCGGCCTGGCTCACGGCCCAGCCGAAACGGAGTCTGTTTCTCCTGCGACAATCCTTGTTCGCCCTATGGCAGTACATCTTGCTGGACTTTGTCGGACACCAGCTAACCCACAGTGAGCGCGCAATGAACGACTTCACTATGATTCTTCAAGATCCCACCGCGCGCCATGCATGGCCGGTAGAGACTGCCATCAACCTTGGGATCTGGTTTGTGTTGGCACGGGTGTCGTTAGACTTTCGATATCGATTCATTTCGGTGGCCCTGGTAGCTTTGGGGGTGTCACCTGCTGAGAACTGGCCGCCAATGTTTGGCAGCACGTTGCAAGCCTATACCTTGCGGAACTTCTGGGGGTAAGTAACTTAAATATTGCATAATATTACCGTGAAGCGACGGTTAACGATTCAACGTAATAGAACATATTGGCATCAGACCCTTCGATGGCCACTGACAGCCATGAGCGCCTTCATCACCCGAACTCTCCTAAAGCTACCGTATCCCTCCTTGATAGAGCGCTACTCGAACCTTTTCTTCGCCTTCCTCGTCTCAGGCATCATTCACCTCTCGGCCCAATACAAAGGCTTCATAACAACCCCGCCCGGAGCAATCCATTTCTTCACATCGTTTACACTAGCCATTATGGTGGAAGATGGCATCCAGGCGATCTGGGCTCGAATGGCGGAGGAAGACAAAACCGTGCAGAAATTTTCCACCCGGCATCCTACACTCTGGAAACGGTTGGTCGGGTATATCTGGGTCACCATGTGGCTCACTCTACTGGGACCGTTGTATTCGTACGACATGGCATATATGGCCGTCATGGAGCCGTTGCCACTGCCAGTAAGTGTTACGGAGTATTTGACGCCGTCAGTGACTGGGGCTCTTCTTGGGGGAGGGATGATTGTTGGTTTAGTAGCATTTGGGGCAGAGCCGTAGTCATATTCATCAAGTATCTATATAATATTATATCCTGGTGCTTGGATATATTGACCTAGGGGGGAGAAGGGTGTGATAAACGCATACACAGATGTTAGCTTTTAACTCAAAAAATGTTATTGATCGATACCGAAGTATGTACACATCAAAAATTGTAAATTTGATATACTTCCAAAATTCATAAGTTATTGAATTCATTAAGATATGAACAGTATATTATTTCCTAGATTTAGCATGTACTCCCCAGGCTCTTGGCTAATATTGATTTACTGGGGAATTCGATGTGGTACCAAGAGTAAATGACATTCGTTGATGCAACTATATATTTTGCCCCGGATTTAGGTTAATACTTCAACATCTTCGGTTCGCTATAATTCAATTCAAAGCTAGTTCACACATGTGGCTTTTAGATTGAATGATTGGAATTCATGCTGCTCGGATGTTATTGTATAGAGAGACGAGTAAATAGTTTTCATTCAACGAAGTAATTAGGATCTTGTAACTACAACCTTGGGTGAAATGAAAGCGGCACATCATCAATCATATCCAACGACAAGGCAAAACAAACAGATTCATTCAGCGCCTTATCTGCCCGAGCAACACATTCTGATCTCTTCTGCCCCGGGGCAACTGCAAAATCTACTCGATAGCGGGATAAAAGGACAGCAAACAAAGTCACAAACTCTACCTGCGCAAATTTCTTGCCGAGGCAGGAACGAATCCCGTCGCTGAAGGGAATATACGCGCCACGAACCGGTTTATGGATAGTGGGATATTCAAGTCCCGCTGCGGCCAGGCCAGGCTGGTGGTCGTTGCGGGCGAGGAAGCTGTCTACATTCCTCTTGTCCCATCGCGATGGATCGTAAACGGTCGCATCAATACCCCAGTACTCCAGCGAATAGTGCAGACTGGTGATATTCATCGAAACGTTACTGTTCGGAGGCAGGAGGATAGTCCGCTCTTGGTAGGTGACATCTGTGGAGGATTGGCCGGTAGTTTTGATGATGACGGGAGCTGGGGGGTAGAGTCTCATCGTCTCCAGCATCACACATAATGGTCCCACAAGCTTGGGGTATACCACGTCATAGTCCCAAGTCTGCGGATCTGTTGGATACTCCCTGACAGCGTCACAGACGGATTGATACACCCATTCTTGGATATCCTGGTGCATCGCCATTAGGACCAACGCAAAGCGGATAGTGGCCCCTGTGCTCTCATGGGCCAGCATGAAGACGTGCGCATTGCCGAGCACCTCAATGTCGCTGAGCGAGCTGGTTTGGGAGCCATCCTCACTGCGACCTAGCAAATGCTTCGCGCGGATCAGTCCCTGCAGCACATTATGATACGGTCGGCCATGATCCACCCCATCACTCTCTACCTGGGCGATCATTGCCCGTAGATACTGGCCCAGATCGTCGTATGCGGCGAAATCGTCACGATAGAAAGGGAAGAAGGCCCGAGGGATTGATTTTGGCAGCATGGCGTTGGCGATGAAGATTGAATTCCAATGCCCGGTCATGTACTCCATCACGGCACGCAAGGTAAACTGAAAGCCTGGTGGTGGCTTCCGAGCGTCGCGAAACATGGTGGCAACGGTGGTGTTGGTCGCGGCGTCGGGGCTGGGCTTGAAGGGTAGCTGGACACCAAATCCTGCACTGCAGAGCACGTTCAGTGTGAGTTTGAGGACGTCGTCCTTGGGACTCAGCTGAATTTGACCCGCAGTATCGGTCGTATGCTGTTCCGACCAGTATTGGAGCATCTGGGTGGTCTGGAGCACAGTTTCCTGCCAGACCAGCGCATTATTCTTCTCACTAAAGGCAGATACCGTGTGGCGCCGATGACGAGTCCATTCTTTTCCTTCAGACTGAAAGGTCAGTCATTAGCCGAGTCAATGCTAGAATCATCACTTACAGCGACAACATTTGGCCCGTATAGTGTCATTGAACCTGACACGCGTAAGCTACGTTCACCTAACATGAGTAATATAATGTCCCAACTCACCATAATGATCCAGCGGCTTAGGGAACTGATGCCGCGAGCTGCAGATCTGGTTGACGACGGCTGCGTCGGCAACATGGCAGCGAACATTTTCGGGAGTGGCAATGATATACATTGTTCCTAGCTGTTTGGTGCGTCGGTCCCTGACGGAGAAGTGATGGGTCATAACATTATCATTGATGAGATCCGCCAGCCAAACGGGGAGCCGGTGGTTAATGATATGGAGAACCCAGTCAAATGAGCAGAGGGTCATGAAGAAAATGTTCATTTCTGTGAAGGGGAAAACCGTCCAGGGCAGGCCGATTGCCCGGGCCCGACCCATCTGATAGACTAGGTGGAACCCAGTCCAAAGAAGCCATAGGCCAAGTGCACCGAGAATGAGGGTGACATACATAGTCAAAGGGAAGGTACTGGTAAGGATGAAGGAGAAGATATCCAAATTGAACGTAAGTAGCATAAGTGGTAATCCTACTTACGATATGATATACTGTCCAGATGTCACAACTCTGGTACCGTATGTATGTAAGATATCTGTAATGGATATCTTTCATGTATGTATTGTATGTATTGTATGTATTATATGTATTGTATGTGCGTTGTTATAATTCATCACAATCACCGGCTGCAAGTCATCACAATCACGAGCTGCACGTCACATTCAGGAACCAGGTCCTTCGCATTTCCTAAAACACCTCCTGCTGTAGTCCATGATATGCTTCATCTAGCAAATCATCGGCGATTCGGTGACGAGAAGGGAGTTGATACGTTAGATTCAATAGATGAGGTGGCGGTCTCGGGGTCCATCAGAGCCTGTGCTTTGATGCATTTATTAATGTGCTCACTCTGACGAGTCGTCTTTCTGGCCCGAATTTCAAAGCCTCCGAGCCATTTTGCTTGAGGCAGCTAGCCACAGTTAGGGGAATATAGGATGGATTTTAGACAGAAAGATGAGACGGCAAAACGTTCCATTGCGGGATTCTATTGGCCAAAAGCCCTCACCGCCTATTATGACTCATCAAGATGAAGCCCTTTGAAATGTATGTAATTGAAAGGAGAAAACAAATGAAATTTCAAGATTTCCTAATGAGCTAGCCAATTTCGTTATTACACCATCACTAGTATGTGTGTATGTGTTTGTGGTTGTATCAGCTGGCCCTCAGACTGATAGTTCCAAATCATCAACAGGCAATTCAGAATACGTAATGATCAGCTAATATTGTCAGCATCTCGTGGACGATCTTGACAACCTATACTATGGTTACGCGATATCATTCATCTTCATCAATCACAAAACCTGGTCGATCACAATAATAAACAATCTGCTTGTATCAAGTCTAGCCTCGGCTTATTATCTCTCCACTTTCCTGCATTAGTTCGTCAAATCTACTGTTTCTTAACCAATAAGGTACCATCGCAGTCGGTTACACAACTTCAATTGAGGATATTGGCGTCTGATTGTGGCTTTTGTAAAGCTGAATGTCTCTACGGGGAGCTGAATGTCTCTACGGGGAACTAAACTCCGGAGTAGTGTTATTCTTGAGTTGATCAGCTGAGGTCTCACATCGATCTTGAAATCTACGGTGAGGCGGAGGGATATTGATCAATTCTATCGCTGGTCAGCATGAAAATGCAATGTTTTCATCATACTCACTAGACGAAGGGGGTGGCACTCAGCTGTTGCCGCTATTTGGGAACCTCCAGCGTCATTATCAGCAGACTCTAGTAATTGTACGGTAATGACTATTTTCAATACTGGTTGGGTACTTTATACAGTCCGATTTTATCTCCAAAGTACAGTAGAGGAGGATCCTTTTACATAGTGCTCCGTAAAGTGCAAATAGTGAACGCTCTTGTCTTAGCAATAGGTCAGAACTATAGGGTACCTAGGGCTAGTAAAGTCACGTGGTTTACAATAACAAATATTATCACATGACATAGTCGCATGATTTAGACTTCATTTGATGAACACCTGGGCACTAACAACTATAATGTACACCTTATGTAAAACCTACTACTAGCAATATAGCTTTGAGGGCAAATATGTAACTATTTAATCTGGAGCGTCTATCACATGATATATCCAATATGTGTGGTGAATACTGGGTGCGCCCTTGAAAGCACACAATATATATGCATTTCAGAGCTCCCCTGAGCAGCACCCCAAGGAATCTAGGATTATAAACTCAACCTTGTTTTCCAAGGCGAGAATCACTGTCGCTCCTGAACCTGGACATACATAGGCCGGTGTTCCCACAACCCGTATTCCTTAAGAGAGTCCGGATCATCATTCCCCGGCTGGAACTTGAGATCGAAATTCCAGAGAAGGAAAGCCAAGACTAAACGCATATTGGCGTAGGCGAAGCTGGACAACATGATAAATATGGATGGAATATAAGTTTAAAGGAATGCAACTCACGTTTTCCCAATGCAGCTTCTCGTTCCAATCGAGAATGGATGGAATACAAAACGATTGTCGCCGGCGTAATTGGATTCGTCCATCCATCGGTCCGGGATGAATTCATGGGGCTTCGAAAAGTATCTCGAAGACCGATATGCCGCATACTGAGTAACGGAGACCCAGGTCTGTTGGAAAATTAGTTTAATGTCCACCTGAATTGATTCTTGTGATCTTACCCCCCCAGGAACCCAGTGACCGTCAATGAAACGACCGCCTTTGGGAACGAGACGTGGCAAACCTACGGGCACACTTGGATGGAGTCGCATCGTCTCATCCAGTACCGCCTTCAGATATCTCAGGCCTGATACACCAGTAATAGTGATGTCCTTTTCTGTGCGAAAGGCACTGCGAATCTCTTCAGCTAGCTTCTGATAGCTGGATAGGTCGTGCGTGATATAGTAGATAGCCGCATTGAGAATTGTCGCTGTTGAATCCAGACCGGCCACGACAAGCATGTTCAAATTTTCAAACAATTCCTCAGGGGTAAGGCCGTCGGTAACATACGTCACAAAGTCTTTCCGCTGGGAATCATTGACGACTAATCTCTTATCTAACGCTTTTTGGGCACTCTCGAAGTATTCCATAAAAGCTCTGCCCAGGTCGTTGGAGACCAACCGCTTGATAACGTGATGGTAAGGCTTCAATCGATGCGCAGCACGAACCTTGGTTGAATCCTTCAGCGTTCCATATAGGTCCACAATGAACTGGGGATATTCTCCCGATTCTAATGTCCCCCAGCTTTTCCCAAAGGCCATTGATGTCAGTACATCTGTCACTTGGAATGTTGTCCATGCTGACATGTTCACTACACCATTCTCATCAGGAAACGAGGCATTTCCGGAGCGAGTGCGCAAGGCCTGAATGAGTTGGTGGATGCTGTCACGGATAAGAACTTCCTGCTGACTCAGGGCCTTTCCAGAGAATGCCGGGGCAATGTGCTTCCGTATCCTTGCATGCTCTCTGCTTGCGCAAAAGAAGATGTTCAGGACTGGCTGCGGTCCAAATACATAGAGAATCTCGTTCTTCTCATAGATATCCTGCCATTTCGCTTTTTTTCCGTAAATCTCCTGCCACGCGGTGGCAGTCGTGAAGGAGATCTCATTCGACGCGGTGCGGACCACTTCACCGTATTTTTCATGGAGGCGGGCGATATATTTGCATGAGTTGCCCTGGACTAGATAGTAGACCCAGACCAATTGGGAGAGAGCATCTCGCTTTGGACCGGGGAAGTGACGGAGGGGACTGAGGAAGAGGTGGTAGAAGAAGAGCAGCGAATGAATTCCGACGACCTGAAGCACTGTCAGTTTGGGATGGCTTTGGGCAAAAGGATTATGGAGTCACTCACTCCCATGGCTCCACAATAGACAATATAAAGCAGTTCCATCGTGGGATATTCAATCAACCTGGCAGTTGGGATTAAGGGTGGAATGGAGATTTATTGTTTGCGATGGATGATATTGGAGTGCTGTCGCTGTGTATGTGTAAGACACAATTAGTACAATACAGCATCTATGGCTGTAATGCGAAAGTTTTGACTTGAAACCTTTGTCGATCACTCACACATGATTATGCAGGAAGGGAATTCATTGGAGGTCGAGCTGCGAGCTGCGAGCTATTAGATACCCGGGTAGTTGGGCACAAATGCAGATGCGCGAGCAATATGTGGATGTGGTAATTACCGTATTGACGTTTACCTACCGCACTCATTCGTAAGGTACCATATCAAATACCATAAATACCATAAATACCCAGCTATACCACGCCATATATATCACAAGCATGATCTTAAGATACTTAGCTGGACCTTCTCCCTTAGCTATTCAGTCGTTCAGACCAGTATCAAATTTCTACAATATGACTTTCGATAACAGCTTGGTCCATTACGGAGTTTGCCCTGGTAGTCTTCAACCAAGCGAACTATGTCTAGCATGGGCTCTCGTTTGGAGTCATTTCACCGGCGAAACTGACCTTACATTTGACACTATCCAAGCGGGCTCATCTTCTCAGTTCAAAGTTCTCCTGGAAAGTGACTCCACCGTTGCTGAGACGCGCCAGGATATTGAGCATCAGCTCGAACGCAGCCACGATATTGAGGTTGGAAACACAAACATGTGCCTATTTGTGATTCAGGACCTGCTGAAGGATCCGTCTCCACTCGATATAACTAAATACCAAAGCTGGGGCCACAAAGTCGTGGCGCTCTGTGACTTCGAGAACGGCTCCTGGAAGATCCAGGGGTGGACGTGCAACGATACACTAGAGCGCTGGAGACTACGGAGAATCCTAGAGCACTTCATAGACAGCCTACACGTGTTGTCTGCTAGCCCCAATGACGAGCTCAAAAGGGTATCTTCTCTGCCACTTCGAGTGATAGACATCGCGCAGATCCAGGAATGGAATGGACCAGGACAGCCCGCTGTGGATGCCTGTATCCACAACCTTGTTCACAAAATGGCTCAGTCTCAGGCAAGTTCGCCGGCGGTATGTGCATGGGATGGAGAGTTCACATACGAGGAAATCGACCGGCTTTCTTCCCGACTTGCCAACCACCTGCAGAGTCTGGGGGTAGGCCTGGAGACACACGTCTCGTTGTACCTCCGACCGTCACGATGGTCGCCCGTGGCCATTTTAGCTGTTCTAAAGTCGGGGGGCACCTTCGTCCTGCTCGAAACTTCCTATCCGCTAGACCGCTTGAAGCGCATGTGTCAGGATGTGAATGCCGGCCTTGTCATCTCATTGCCGCAGGATGCAGAGACAGCTGCATGTCTCGGAGCACCTGTGTTTGCCCTGGATGGGGAGGACAAATTAGCACCGTGGAGAGCCCAGCCTTTGGAAGTGAATTCATGCACCAATTCACACAATGCTGCGTATGTGGCCTTCACATCTGGATCAACTGGCAAACCCAAAGGTTTCACTATCGAGCATGGACATTACTGCACTTCCGCGGCCGCTCATGCAATGGCCTGGGGCATCGACTCTCAAGCTCGGGTCTACCAATTCGCCTCATACGCGTTCGATGGTTCGATTATGGAGATGATCACCACCTTGATTGAGGGCGGGTGTGTCTGTATTCCGAGTGCTGCAGACCGACAGAACAACCTGGCTGGCTCGTTTGCCGCTCTCCGGGCAACCTTCATTTGTCTCACACCGTCCATGCTCAAACACCTTGATCATGCAGACTTCCCAAGTTTAGAGAAGCTGCTTGTTACAGGAGAGCTGACCCCGAAGCAGCAGATCGAGCATTGGGCGGACAAGGTGAAGATGACCATCACGTACGGACCCTCCGAATGCTCCGTCGCATGTGCCGTCCAGGAACATGTATCAACCACCACAGACGCCTCCAATCTAGGGCGCGCTATGGGTTGCAATCTTTGGGTCGCTCAAATGCGCGACATTACCTCAATAGCCCCCATCGGAGCCGTGGGCGAGATCTGCGTGGAGGGGCCGACCGTCGGCCGCGGTTACGTCAACAATTCTGAGCAAACGGCCGCGTCATTCTTCGAAGGCTTGCCGTGGTTGTCACTGGTTCAGCGACAGAGCAGCCGTGTCTACCGTACCGGTGATTTAGGTTACTATAACCCCGATGGATCGATTCAATTGATTGGGCGGAAGGATTCACAGATCAAGATACGCGGACAACGAACGGATGTTGGCGAGATCGAGAACCAGATCCGTGGTACTTTAACAGGATTATTCAAGGATGTCGTCGTCGAAGTCGTCCGAAGGGGCCAGGGCGATCCTATTTTGGTGGCCTTTGTCTGCCATAGCGCTGAGAAGAAGTTTACTAGCCAGGAGAAGAGTCCAGCCTTGCTTGAATCGAACGACGCCCTCCACAGGGAATTTCAACGGATCAAGGATTATCTACGAAATATCCTCCCCGTATACATGATCCCGACTACCTTCTTTCCGATTTCTCGTATCCCGCTCACCAGCACGGGCAAGGTCGATCGTGCTCGACTGAGAGACCTGATCTCCAGCCTGCAATCAGACGCCTTTGCTCGCTACGCCGCAATTACAAGTGCCAAACGCCAGCCCACAAGCGATCTCGAAAAGTCATTTCAACTAGTTGCCGCCAATGCCCTTGGACTCCCAGCAGAGAGCATTGGCATGAACGATGACTTCTTTGGTCTCGGTGGGAACTCCCTAACGGCCATGAAGCTGGTCACACTGGCGCGAGACCAACAGCTTGTCCTCACCGTGGCGGATATCTTCGCCAACTCCATCTTGTCAAAAGTTCTTTCAGTTAGTACCGCCCAGATGAGTGAAGGAGGTATCAAAGATCTTCGGCTTGAGGAACCTGCTCCCATGTCACTGGTACGTGGGGTTCAGGATCCAGTTTCATTTGTGCACGACGTGATCGCTCCCCAGTTGCCGTTTCATAGAGCAGAAGACATTGAAAATGTTCTTCCGGCAACTGACATGCAGTCATATGTTGAGCGATTCCCGCCTCATTACCCGTTGGTACGATTGAATGGTGAGGTGGACAAGTTGCAGGTAAAGGTCGCATGCGAACAGCTCGTCCAACGACATGCTGTTCTCCGGACGGTATTCGCGTCCTACAACGGCCGGTCACTGCAGGTTGTCTTGAAAGCAATCGACGTTCCCTTTCGATATGTTGAGACCGCCGGCACCATTTCAGATTTCGAGGACTCCTTCTGCCGGTACGACGGGACCCTCGAAGTGCCAGTCAGTGTCCCCGGCCTCGTGTTCGCCTTAGTTTCGCGAAGTGCAACCGAACACAGCCTCATTGTCCGATTGCCATTGCCTTGCTGCGATGGTGAGTCATGGATTATCCTCTTGCATGACTGGATGGCGTTGTATCAGAAGAAAGCCTTGCTTCCTCCCGTAACCTTCACGGCTTGGGAGTCACTATACATTGCCCAACAGAACGAAACAACATTTAGTTTTTGGCGAAACATTCTCCAAGGCTCCACTATGACCCATCTGTGCGACCCTACAATCGATGTGCCCGACGAAGAGTTCATTTTTGCAACCCAAAACATCCCGCTCCTACAGCCTCCGCTGTCAATCACTCGTGCTACCCTGGTCAAGGCCGCGTGGGCATTGACATTGGCCGAATACAAAAAAGAGACAGATATCGTCTTTGGCCAGCTCATTCATGGGCGAGCCCATGCTTACTCCGACGAAGAGCGTGTAGCCGGGCACTTGGCAAAGATCATTCCCGTGCGAGTCAATCTACAATCTTTCTCGACCGGGTTGGATCTGCTACAGAAAGTCCAGCAGCAGCACCTGGCCTGCATGGAATTTGACCTAGTCGACTTCCATGATCTCGTCTCCAACTGTACCGCATGGCCGTCACATACTCAGTATGGGACGTACATCCTGCACCAGGACAATGAGTATCTTGGGGAGACGGGGTTGATGGCAGATATTAGGGTTTCTACTAGCATGGCATATAATCCGATGATTTCCAAGGCGGTACGCGAGTTTGTAATTATGTCGACGCCTCGTGGAAATGAGCATGAGATCATGATTTGTGCTACCAGTGTGTATGTAGATCAATCTACGGCTGATTGGTTGCTGGCAAAGATGGTGGCCAACTTGCAGATACTGGCGAATGCCGCGAACACTACTCGTCTGGATGAATTGATGGATGGTGAAGCGTAATCCTCACTATTGTTCAGGTCAGACATGATTTATTGTTGATTTCGAGATTTTATAGAATCGACTGTGGCTTGCTACATAGGACTGATATACAGCCAGCACATCCATCCACATACATTTTATGATATAGATATAGTTGGTTTCCCCAGTAATAGGATGATTGTTCTTGGTATTTCCCCCAAATTTTAAGAAACCATTACAACTAGCAAATGTGTAACCAGTTATGAGAAGGGAAAAATACAGTCTAATAGTGCATTGCTTGGTCAGCAGAGTTAGCTATAAATTCGGGCAACTCCCCTCAAGCTCGCATACAAGACATCGCTTAGATTTTTCACTCAACTCCGACCCTCTTCCCACCCAACATGTCTCCCTTGAGATTTGTTAAAAAAGATGATATCCTTCGATTAGGTGAAACCGAGTATGTCATCTTAGGAAGAATGCACAGGCACATCTAAGCTGACAGTAAAACCAAGTCCTCAGTACGCTGCGTGGCAGGAATACAACAGCTTCCCCCCAATGGACTGGACCGACATCCAAGCCGCTCGATCAATCGTGGAGCCATGGACAGCTGAAAAGTTTCAAGCACTGGGGGATTCCGGGGTGACTATTGAGGTGCCCATGAGAGACGGATTTCGATCTTCTCTTCGGGTCTACCGGCCAGAACCTCTAGTGAAGAGATCCATCCTAGTAATCCTGCTGCATGGGGGGGCTTTTGTGACGGGGGACAATAGGGAGTTGGCTGAATATGCGTTGGCACTG